ATTGTATGACTTGGAATACACAAATACAGATTTTTTTTTTTTTAGTTACTTGAAAAATAACATCTACTTTAACAATAAATATTGAAAATACACAGAATAATATACTGAATAATACATAAGGAATTGCCGCTTTTCATATATTGAAAAAAATTTTGACAATACATATACTCATGTGTATGTTTATTATATATATATATATATATATATATATTTATATTCAATAATACAGTTCATAATATGCAGACGTACATGTGTTAAAATATGGTACTGTGTGTGTATAAATATATTTGAACAAAGTTTGTATATTCACATTTATGTGGGAAAATGTATGTGCAATTTGAAAATTCAATACTTGCGCGAAAATCTGATTATGTTTTGGGTGATATTTATGCAGAAATATAGAACTTTCTAAAGGGTTCACAAACTTTCAATCAGCACTGTATATATATATATATATATATAGCTACTGCCACACAAAATCATGTCGAGGAGATGACAGACGAAAGTGAGATATTTATTCAGACTCAAAAAAAGTTTGCTCGCCAGAGTCTAAAAAGATAAGATGTTGGACACCCAGTCTGCAGGATGTGCAGTACTAGTAAGTTTTTTTTGCACACTTTTGTAAATTTATGGTTACAAACTCTATCTAAACCTCCCTACACTCAAAATTTCAGTGTGAGTTACTGGCCAAAACAAGAGAAAACACGAATTAAACAAAGTTAAATATGAATTTGACACTTTTGAAGTTATTATTTACTTAGATATCACGATAATATTGTTTACGTGAAAGATAATTGTGTAGTGAAAATCTGATATGGAGTCAGCCCTAATTGTGGCCATGTATTTAGACAGGAAATGATGTGATGAGTCAAATGAAATGAGCATCCAAAGTTCTTGCTATTGATGTGGAATTTAGTGGTGAAATAGATTGGAAATAGAAATAGACAGCATGCATGCATCTAGGTTTCTGGCCTATGTGTCCTCGTTTGACTGGCAGAGAAGAACACTTTAAACTTGATGAGGCATATTGGATTGATTCTGTGATTTGAACCCAGTTTGTTTTTATTTGTCTTGGATCAGTCTCGTAGTGGTGTGGAACGTGGCTCCGCCTGAGGGTCTGGAGGGGTTTCGCGTAGCTGTCTTCTGTCATGCCGAAGACATTTAGCTCCCTCGAGAGTGAGAGTCTGTGTATGTCATCATGACCTGGCCGTGAGTCAAACTGATCTCAGGTCAAGTCTAGAACACAAATCTCCTTGACTTACTACACACACACACACACACACACACACACACACACACGCACACAGAAACGCACACACACATGTAAAAAATGCACAAAAGCACAAATGCACAAATCTACGCAGCAGAGGGCTTTGTGTGTCATTCATTCTCACATGAGGAAGAAGGGAAGGAGTTTGTCTGTCCCTGTATATGCAGTAAATCACTGTGGGATGACAGGCATGTGGATGACCACTGTCTCACTGTCTGGAGCAAAAGCATACACAGAGAATTAGAGTCGTAAAGTAATTCATCTGAAGACCAGCCAGTACATTAAACTCCACTTTTATTATAACCAATGGCATCTGATTGGCATTTTATTCATTAAAATGGTTAAAAATACATTAAGAAATGTAATTCTGTCATGACAACTCTCAAAGGGATTGGCATGGTAATGTACATGACAATGTTAATGTATCTGGTCTTGGCGGAATAGATCTGCTACACTGCTGCTGCGGCAGTACTGAGACTTGCTACTGCCAATACATCCACAACATGCTGCTTTGAGCATGTAAGAAATACTGCTGCTGCAAATATAACATACATGAACTAACCCCCATATAGCGTACATGAATCACCTCGTAGCAGATCTATACAGGTGGAGCTGGGGAAGGTGGAGGGTTTCTGAAGTGCGCTGCCAACTGCTACAGCAAACAAAAGCCAAGTATTTGAATATTGAGCAGCGAGCTCATTGGCTACCGATACAGGAGAGAACGAATCAGCTGCCATGTGACAATGATGTCACCAGGTCAGATTGAGCTAGACCTATCGGACCGCGCCATCTAGAGTTTCATGCCAGAACTCTGTATTTCATATATACATTTGAGTTTATTACATCTTTTGTGTGATGGTGTTTAATTCATTTTAGCACTGAAGACTGTTAATGTAGCGTTTATAAATGCAATCTTGCATGCAAAAAGGGGCTTGCAGAGGAAAATTCTGTTTAAACTAATCCATCATGTCAGGATCTGAGCCACCGAAGTTCCTTCCTAAAGAAAACTTCCTGTACAGAAAGCATCATTACACATAAACCCTCACTTCCTCAGAAGAACCATCCTGAAGCTTAGCAGAGCTATTAATCGAGAGTTTAGGGATGGGAATCCATGAATCCAAAAGACAGACTTTGGGAATGTTTTGCTCCCATTCTCTCATCCTTTGTGCTCATTTTTGTGGAGGAGGCTTGACAAGGAGGTGAAATAGAGAGGAAGGGAAGACAAGAGCTTATTATAAACGCTTTCCCCCCCTAATATTTCTCTTCATTATCTTTCAGTTTATGACTGGCTTATGAACCAGTTTCCTAAACGCAAACCCACACAGTAAAACTGTTCAGCCCCACACTGACCTAAGGAGAAAAGATTGCTATTAATTGTAAGTCAGTGGCGAGATATCAGTTGCATAACAGCGTTTCACTGTTACTTTATGATTTATAATTTATGTAACAAATTATATTGCTGTTTATTTATGCATAATATGTGCTCACTTTGAAACTATGTGGAATGAATAAAGCGTAATATTCAGTAAACAATGAATTTAAAACAAAGTAGTATGCATTATGGTATAGTCACATTAGCGAAATTTCTGTAAAATGTATAAATGTATAAAGCACAGAAGAATGTTGGTAACCAAACAGTTGACGGTAGCCATTGACTTCCATAGTATCAGTGGAAGTCAGTGGCTACCCTCAGCTGTTTAACATTCTGCAAATGTGTTAATTCTTTTGTGTTCAACAGAAGAAAGAAACAATGTTTGGGTAAACTGTCCCTTTAAATGTGATGCAGCAAACATTTTGAAGAGTAGTATATTGTTGTCACATGACCTCATTATATTTATCATGTTGTCATCTCAGTATGTGTAAACTTAAATTAGTCAGTGGCGTCTAGTTACCACTGTTATGTTATTTTGCATAATGAATGTGTAATGTTTAATTTAGTATAAAAATATCCTCAAATCTTGTCAATCCAAGTCAAAAAAATGTTAAGAATTGTGGTTGATGTCACTTTGGAAATGGAAGGTCAAGTCGAATGCAGTGCATTGTGGGATATATTAAATCTTTTATACAAAACAATTACAGCACATTCAATCTAAACGTGTTCCTTAGGAATCAAACCCAGGACTTTGGTGTTGGTAGTGCCTTGTTTTATAGGTCAGCATTTTGAGCTAAACCTTTTTTAACCAGTTAAGAGCCAGTTTATGTCATATAGAAAATAAAAATACAGGCAAGGGGTCCCAGTCGCAATCCATGGTTACGGTGAGATCTAGCAGAGAACTCTCAAGCTATCTACCGTACCACCCAGTCTTTCTCTTGATCTTTTCCAAATCAGTGAAACATCTGCAAAGAATGAAAGCTTCACCATTAATGCAGACTCAACCGTGGCAAGCACTTCAAGTGCGCACAGTGCATTTGAGATAAACTTGACACTTTTATCAGCGTCCGATAACGAGATATCAGAAACAGTTTTGAGAACAAAGAGCCCAAGAGTGTCGCTTGAGTTAATACCATTTGTGCTAAACGCGTTTCTCAAACCAGTTGATGGCTTCCATATTTGGGATCCTTTGTGCTTCTAGACATTGAATGCGTTATCAGATTCTCTCCTAACAAGAATCAGGTTCTCTCTTACCTTTATACAGTAAATTACATTATTTTTCTAATTTACTTTCTCAAATCTGAGATGCATTTGCTTTCCATTTAATCCCATTGATGTCTAGTTGAAATAATTCACCTTTCGCCGGGAGTTTGATTGACAGGCCATCTGACCAATCATAACACATAATCTGCCATTTAGTCTGATAAACAAACCAGACAGAGTTGGTAGATTAATTTTGTGGATTTAAACTTGAAAAATGGTGTGTATTAACGTCTTTCCACGTTGAAATGTGTTCATTCAAGTTTATTTTGTGCTATAACTAGTGGTAAAGAGGACGAGATGATCGGTTCACGTGCCATGTGAACTGAGGCGCTAAAGCGATCTGTCACGATACATTAAAGAGCCACAAAATGGTATTTATTGTTTGAATTTCTTTAAAAAATGACAAAATTTGAGGTAACACTTTATTTCGATAGTCCACTTTAGACATTCTATTAACAGTAAGTAACTTTGCAACTACATGTCAACTAGCAGTTAGTAGAGTATTAGTAGACTGTCTGCTTAATATCTTCTAACACTTTCTTTGTCAACTTATTCTACTAACCCTAAACCTACCCTAACAGTCTACTCTGAGAGTTAGTAGACATGTAGTTGCAAATTAATGAGAATTAGTTGACATGTAGTTGACATGTAGTTACAAAGTTACTTATAGTTAGTAGAATGTCTAAAGTGGACTATCGAAATAAAGTGTAACCAAATTTGAAAGCTGAGACTTTGTTTCATATCAAAAGTAACCTGCTGCTCTTGTCTGTCAGCATGTTGTCAGTGTACTTTGCTCCACAATGTATTTTTAACTGCTTGAGAACATGATGTGTGGCTTATCACATGTAACCACAGTAACGTAGAGGGGCATGTCTTCCAATTTGCGTACTTGCACACTATTCTATGCCTTTTTGTAGTATAAATAGTGCGAGTGAATTTTCATTCACACTGAAAATTCCATAAAGAAAAGTGCACTTAAATAACCAATAAAAAGAAGTGTTGAATTTTGGACACTTTGTACACTCAGCTGTCACAGCTTTAATTACATAGCGGAGGGGGAGGGGCTAGTATTTATGATGTTTCTTGTTCTTTCAGATTCGGACTTGAGCATGAGGACGCTTAGCACTCCCACTCCCGCCCTCATTCTGAAGTCAAATCCTTCCTGTGTCTCCCCTCAAACAGTCCCAAACGGCCATGAAACGTCTTCCACATCTTTTAACATCACTGGGGAAACAGTTGCCCTGGTTCACCCGCCTCCAGGCACTCGCTCACGGCCTTCCAAAGTTCCTCCCACCACCCTCATTGATATCCTGCCCGATCCTGTTTTACTACACGTCCTGTCTTACCTGTCCACCCCTCAGCTGTGCCGCTGCGCTCGAGTGTGTCACCGCTGGTATAACCTGGCCTGGGACCCGCGGCTCTGGAATACCATTCGTCTGACTGGAGAGCTGCTGAACGCTGACCGAGCCCTCAAAGTGCTCACCCATCGGTTATGTCAGGACACTCCCAACGTCTGTCTGACCCTGGAGACGGTTGTGGCCAGTGGCTGCCGCAGGCTGTCGGATCGTGGGCTACGTGTGGTCGCTCAGTGCTGTCCAGAACTGCGGCGTTTGGAGGTTGCAGGCTGCTATAATGTGTCCAACGAAGTAGTGTTTGATGTGATATCCCAATGTCCCAATCTGGAACATCTAGACGTATCAGGTAATATTGGCAGACTTTGCAGTTGGTTTGCCATATGCCTTTGGGTGAATCTCATAAAACCTATCAAGAACATGTGATAGAAGAAAATATTGCACTCCAATTGAAAAGAGACAATTAGAAGAAAATAAAGAAAATAAAGCCTACTTTAGGACCATTTTTTTAAACCATATTTTATGACAATTAAAGTATTTTAATTATCTTTATGTTATTGATATATTACATCATTATTCTTTATATATATATATATATATATATATATATATGTATTGTATATGCATTGTTAAATAATTATGGTTTTGAAAAGGGGTTATGGGAACTTTGGCTTTTCAGCAGGGAATTTACATTATGATAATGAGAATTCAGGTGAAAATTGAAATGAAAAAACAACAACAATTCCTTAAAGGGCTCATGAACTGAGAAATCAAATTTCCCTTGATCTTCTGACATTGTACTATAAAAACATCCTGTAATTTTCAGAGCTCAAAACTTTCTCGTTAGTCTACAAACAGCTTATATTGAAGCCAATCTGCCAAAACGACAGGTTGTGGAATGTGTTATTTTAGATCAACGCCTGCTTCTACATCACTGCCTGTTTAGCCCCGCCCACCGATTCTACATCATTCTGTTTAGCTCCGCCCACATATTCTACATCACTGTCTGTTTAGCCCCGCCCACCGATTCCACATCACTGCCTGTTTAGCCCCGCCCACCGATTCTACATCATTCTCTGTTTAGCTCCGCCCACATATTCTACATCACTGTCTGTTTAGCCCCGCCCACCGATTCCACATCACTGCCTGTTTAGCCCCGCCCACCGATTCTACATCACTCTCAGTTTAGCTCCGCCCACATATTCTACATCACTGTCTGGTTAGCCCCGCCCACTGATTCATGCATGTAGTGTAAATAACGAGAGAGGCAAACGCTGGTCTATGCTGAAACCAAACGATAAAGATGCTCAGAAGACAACAAGATGTGTTCAGTGCCAAGTTGTGAAAAAAAGCTGTGTCTTTCTATGGCGCTCTTTCTGATCTCAACATTAGGAAAGAGTGGATGAACTTATTTTTAATGAAGATCCAGACCTTGTCAGTGAGAACTTGGTCTTTTGTTCAATTCATTTTACTGTGGATTCATTTACAAACAAGATTTGTAAAGCAGGATTTTCAGAAAGACTGAAACTAAAAGACGATGCTGTGCGACTATACTGGATCTGACAGTAATGTCGCACCACACAAGTGTGAGTAACTCTTTTTATTACGTGATCACTATTGCTTTGTCTATTACAGATCATTTGATATGTACTGAGTATTTATGCGTTTTTTATCCTAAATCACAGCAGCGTCCATCTATGAAGGCGGTAAGCTGTCAAACATACACAACTGTTAGCCAATCACAGCAGTGGTGTTTACTTCTGAGTCTACAATCCGTCCCGAGCTTTTTGACGTAAAAATCTTCATAATGTTATAAGTGGACCTCAGAGAACAGTACAAAATAATAAAAAAGGCAGTTCATGACAACTTTAATGCAATTTTATATTTTTTATTGTCTTTAGGTGTTGGGGTGAATCTCATGAAACCCGCCAAGAACATGTGATAAAAGAAAATATTTCACTCCAATTGAAAAGAGAAATTTAGAAATTATATTTTATATAAGAAAATGAAGCCTATTTTAGTTTCAATTTTGGGTTATGGGAATTTACATTATGGTAATGAGAATTCAGGTAAAAACTGAAATGAAAAATGTCACAGTGCAAGCAAACAAACAAACAAAAAATCCATGGAACTTAATGCAAATTATATTTGTTTTCGTCTTTTGATTTTGGGGTGAAATATGACCTCTGAAGATTTCTTTATGAGATTCATCCAATTGCAATAAATATTTATTTATTTTTTAGGTGAGATATTATTTACCACCATACCATGCATTGTTGTAGAGATTTTTAAGATTTTCAAACTTCTATTTTGAATTGTGCCACAGGTGGACTGCAAATGTATGTATTGGCATGGCACATCCATTACCTGGAAAACGAGTAAAACATGTTACGTCTTGATAATTTTCAAGAGCTCTTGTGATGAATTAGCTGCCATTAAGCATCAGAATACCATGTTTGGTTGTGGATTTATTCAGGGAGTAATTCAAAGTGGTGAAGTTTTTCTGGGAAGGCTGGGAAAAACATTATGAGCTCTAGGAATTGCCGCCAGTCTTTCAGTCTTTTTCTGGGGGAAGGTGAGGTCTGCTCGATTTTGAAAGATGGACTGCTAACCTCAACCAAAGAGTAAGAGTCTGTCTGCTGAGTTCATTGTACGAGTCACACACTGTACCGTTATTCATCATGCAGAGGGCACAGCATGCGTTCTGCTTTCCACAAGTAATACGCCCTTTATTGCAAAAGTATCCTAAATCTCTGGTGGTTATGTTTACTTTTAAAAGCAGGTAGTATAACTGTAATAGGAGCGAAAACAGATACTGCCTGGATGAGGTTTCTGGATTTCATTTCTTTATTATTTTTCTCAGTTTTGTTCTATTTTATTTGGCCTATAGTCACTCTATTTAATTCATTCACCTCGATTTGAAAACCTGATGTATCGTCATTTTATTTGACTGTTTTCCTGTTTCCCATGTGACATTTCCTTTTTCTCAGCGGTCTATGCAGTTCTAGTGCAGGCTTTTGATTTATTGCTTGAAAAAGGATCAAAACAACAGGAACTGATGTTCATACGTATGTTTAAAGACATCTTAAAAAACAAGAAATGGTCTGATGGTTTTATATAAGACAGGAATTTATAAGAGTAAATAATGTGTCCCTGTCTTGAAAGGTCAGAATGGGTATGTGGACAGAACATAGCTTAAACTGTACAGTGGACAGAATACAGCTTATAACTATTGCTATAAGTATTCATTTAGCATAATAACTGGCTTCAAGCCTAGAAACACCTTAGCATCCACCCAACATCTTAGCAGCCACCCAGAAATCTGTACTTGAGGTCTATAATCTTTAAAGTCAACATGAAATGGAAATTCTATTTTCTAAATGCATCTTATTGATCTTATTTTGAACGATTCATCCACGCATTTAAAGACAAACAAAAAAATGTTTTGAGCTTATATTTTTCAATTAAAATATAACTTCCAGTGAAATGACAGACTTTTCTCTGGTGATGAATGTCAGACTACAATCATTTTGTTTGCCTAAACTCCACCCCTTTCTTACAATCGCCTACAAAATTGCATTGAGATCTCCAATCAACAACTGATGGACAGAACCATGTCCCTACCCTACATTTTAAATTTTTCGATATTCTGTTTCACTCGAATGTACAGTATGTCATAATATGGAAGAAAATATCTGTCGCGTCTTTCGTTACATTAGTACTTTATTTAAACCTATTTTAATTGTCAAGCAAGGCTTTGTCAAGTCAATCCACTTGTTAAAAGAACACTCCACTATTTAATAATATCATTGACGCCATAAACGTAATATCATTGCGCCTGCTGCACCCATAGTACGATTATTACGCCGGAATGAGAGTATAGTTTCTAGCCATATCGATAGTACGATTATTACGCCGGAATGAGAGTATAGTTCCTAGCCATATCGGCCTAGAAAATCGCAACTTTTCATTTTCCGTCGGTCTTAATACACGATGTAACTACAGAAGAGTCAAGTTTTAAATAGGAACAATATAGAAACATCTTTTGTCATTTTTGAGCGAGATGCTAACGGTCTAATCAGATTCAATGATCTATGCTAAGCTACAGCTAAATGTGCTACCGCCAGACCCGGGGATCGGCTGAATGGATTAGAAAATGGTAAAACTCAACTGTTTAAGTCTAGGGGAGTTGGAAAATGAGCCTATTTTAAAAAATAGTGGTGTGTTCCTTTAAGTCGTGACATAGCGAATACTGTTTCAGGGTCCAAGACTCTAGTCCATTCCAGTTGAGAATACTTTATACCTTTGTTTATACCTTTGCACCCTTTGTTGTTTGCTTTTTGGATCTTTTTGAACCCGGTAACGGTGATGCGTGGGGTCAGACTTAACCAGATATTCACAGTTTGTCCTTATGAACTGTACTTTTCTTGTCATAAACTATAATAATGATAATATCCCCACCCTTTCCCTAAGGCTGCCTTAAAGTGACCTGTATCAGCCTGACGGAGGAGGCGTCTCAACAGCTCACACCTCTACATGGACAGCAGATCGGCCTGCGATACCTGGACATGACAGACTGTGTATCACTGGAGGACAAAGGCTTGAGGACCATTGCCTTTCATTGTCCACGTCTCACACACCTCTACCTGCGGCGCTGCAGCCACCTAACAGACGAGGCCCTGCGACAGCTAGCACTGCACTGCACCGCTTTACGTGAGCTTAGCCTTAGCGACTGCCCTCTGATTGGAGACTTTGGCTTACGTGAGGTCGCTCGCCTGGAGGGCCGCCTACGCTATCTGAGTGTGGCACACTGTATGCGTATAACAGACGTTGGACTGCGTTATGTAGCGTGCTACTGTCCGCGGCTCCGCTACCTGAATGCACGGGGATGTGAGGGGTTGACGGACCAGGGTTTGAGCCACTTAGCTCGCAATTGCCCCCGATTGCGGTCTATAGATGTTGGCCGCTGCCCGCTGGTGTCAGACACCGGGTTGGAGGTGTTAGCACGCTGTTGTGAAGGGCTACGAAGGCTGAGTCTGAGAGGCTGCGAGAGTTTGACAGGGAGAGGGCTCATGGCGCTAGCAGCAGGATGTCCCGAGTTGCAGTTACTAAATGTACAGGAGTGTGAGGTGCCACCTGAGGCACTTCGATTGGTCCGACAGCACTGCAGACGCTGTGTAATTGAACACACCATACCTGCTTTGTACTGAGGGGACAGGTTGGGGACGCCAGAGGTGTCGACCTCTGAAAAACAGATGTTTATACTTTTTTGCATTCCTATGACTGCCTGATGAGATGCAACAAGGTGGATGTGTCTCAAAACCTAGTGCAGGGGTGCTCAATTCAGCTCCTGGAAGGCCACTCATGCAGAGTTTAGCTCCAATACACCTGACCAAACATTTAGAGTAATCCTGACTGAAATTGGTTGGTTCAGTTGTGTTTAATTTGGGCTTGGAGCTAAACTCTGCAAGACAGTTGCCTTCCAGGAGCAGGACTAGACGTTCTTTACCTAGTTAATCAATTCACGGTCTACTTCAGTGTTTCCCAAACCTGTTCCTGGAGGCACACCAACAATATACATTTAGGATGTCTCCCTTATCTGTTTCATACATGTCAAGTCTAGGAGTCTCTACTAACAAGCTGATGAGTTGAATCAGATGTGTTTATTATGAAGAGTTTGAAAATGTGTACTGTGTCTCCTGCTCAGCTCAAGGGTGTCAAACCCTGCTCCTGCAGGATCACTGTTGTGCAGAGTTTAGCTCCAACACACCTGCCCAGAAGTTTCTAGTAATCCTAAAGACCTTGATTCGTTTGTTCGGATGTTTAATTCGGATTGGGGCTAAACTCTGCAGGACCCTCCAGTTGGAGGATAGGTCACCCTGATCCAGTGAATCAATTCACTGTCTACTGCAGTGTTTCCCAACCCTGTTTCTGGAGGCACACCAACAGTAAGCATTTTGGATGTCTCCTTTATCTGATCCATCCATTTCAGGTATAGGAGTCTCTATTAATGAGCTGATGAGTTGAATCGGGTGTGTTTGGTTAGGAAGAGTTCAAAAATGTGTACTGTGTCTCCATTGAACTTGTTTGGGAAACAATGGTCTCCTGCTTACTGAAACTCTGGGGCAACTCAGGGGTATCAAACCATACTCCTGGAGGATCACTGTTCTGCAGAGTTTAGCTCCAACACACCTGCTAGGAATTGATACTAAAGACCTCGATAAGCTTGTTCAGATGTGTTTAATTCAGGTTGGAGCTAAAGTCTGCTGGAAGGTGGCCCTCCAGGAGCAGGACTGGAAACCCCTGACCTAGTGAGTTGACTTGCTGTCTACTGCAGTGTTTCCCAACCTTGTTCCTGGAGGCACACCAACAGTACACATTTTGGATGTCTCCTTTAACTGACCCATCCATTTCAGGTCTAGGAGTCTCTACTAATGAGCTGATAAGCTGAATCAGATCTGTTTGATTAGGAAGAGTTATACTATGTCTCCACGAACAGGCTTGGGAAACACTGGTCTCCTGCCTACTGAAACTCTGGGGCAACTTAAGGCCCAGGGGGCGTATTACAGAAAGTTTCCTATCTTAGGTCTTTACTTAAGACGTGATATGTTAAGTTAAGATTTTTCAGAAATTCGTATTACAAAAGCAAATCTTAACTTGATTTGGGATTCTTATCCTATCTTACAAAATCGTATCCTATCTCTAGTTTGGAAATCTTAAATTGCATTATCAAGCTCGACAATCCACTCTCAGGTCTGTTACTAAGCAACCAACACTGCACAAGCTGCTGATGAGGTAAACAAAATAATAGAAGCTACTTCACTTTGAAAATCACCTTTTGCAAAAAAACGTAACACCGTGTCTACACCAGACGCGACAGTTGTCGTGTCGCGCCGCGACGCAACATCTAAAGTCTGTCTACACTGGACGCAACAAAGCGACCGTTCAAAATCATTTGAAATTTGTGTCAGCACGTCATAAATAGAATGCAGCAACAGTTTACTGTCGGGGATTTGTCGTGTCGCGCCGCAGCCAGTGTAGACAGCATCACTGATTATAATGAGTTCTATAGTATTTTGTCATGCCGCGCGCATCCAGTGTAGACACGGTGTGTAAGACATTAGTCACTTGCACTATAACGTAATTACTTATAAGTGTTTTGTCATCAAAATGTAACACATCTTCAGGGTCCTCCAAGAGTCTTTCTACCATTAATCATCTCTGTTTTAATAAATTTAATACCATTGTTGGACAGCGCAACTGTAAGTGTTTTTTCCATTAGCTTTCAAATAATTTTGAAGTTAGGACAGCTGTAACAAAATGTCACATAGCATTTCATTTACCTCAGGCAAGTCATCAGTGTCTGCAGCTAGTTAGTTCGCTAGAGAAATTAAGTCTAGAGAAGATAATTTTGTGAAATATTAGACTATATACTTATTATATTTTACTTTACCTGTTAGTGATGTCTTAATTAATGTATGCTCAAATAAATCTGTTAAGAAACAAGTTACGACAGCCACTGTGCAACTGAATATATTTCAACAACAAATAGAAATTGTATAATTTAGAAGTTTAAAAACTGCATTATGTGCAACTTACATGTTTGCATACTTTTTTTAAGTTGAGGGATGATTATTATATTTAAAAAATAAATAGTAATTGAATTTAAGTTTGGGCTCTGTTGTTAATTGTAAGCTTATAGAAATGTAAAAGGGTCCCCCAATAGTTTAGAGCAGGATTCCTCAATAGGCGGCCCGTGAGAGAAAAACATTTGGCCCGCGCTAATTTCAAATAATGTGGCATGAAAATTCAAACGCAGCATCAGAAAGCAACATTAACTTACATCGTGTCTACACCGGACGCGAGCGGCGCGACGCAATAAAATACAAGAACTCGTTATAATCAGTGATCCTGTCTTGGATGCGGCATGACACGACAAATCCCCGACAGTAAACTGATGCCGCGTTCTATTTATGACGTGCTGACACAAATTTAAAATGATTTTCAACTTGGCTTTGTGGCTTCCAGTGTAGACAGACTTTAGCTGATGCGGCGCGGCGCGACACGACAACTGTGCGTCTGGTGCTCCGTGACGCTTTGTTGGTCTCTGTAATGCTGGTTGCAGTTCCTGTGCTAACTGTAATGTCATGTTGCGCGGCAGTCTGTAATTACTTATAAGTGTTTTGTCATCAAAATGTAACACATCTGCAGGGTCCTCCAAGAGTCTTTCTACCATTAAACATCTCCGTTCTTCATTTTCAATTATTAATAAATGTAATACCATTGTTGGACAGTGCAATTGTAAGCGGTTTTTCCTTTAGCTTTCAAATAATTTTGAAGTTAGGACAGCTGTGGGGTTGTCCTAAAGTTAAGACAGTTTTTAGGATTTTTTGTCAAGTTAGGAGGTTTCTGTAATACCCCCTTCCTATCTGTAGTTAAGATAAGATAACACATACGCTGTTCTGTAATAGCTTTTGTCCTAAATGTGGTCCTAACTGAAATTACCATGGTTACCAAACAGATAAGATAAGCTTTTAAAGTTAGGATCTTTCTGTAATACGCCCCCACAGGTATACTTCACTTTCCATGTTCCATTCCGTCTCGCACACAGCCACACAGCTTTCAAAGTATACTCAACCACGAATGGACAAGCTCGGCACATGCACAGTACCACCTACTTGACTCGATCTGTCTCAACATTCACCTTGTGCCTGCACTGTTGTACGCAGACCATCCACGTACAGCCCAATTTTTGTGACTGCGCGGACATCCTCGTATACTTCTGATGACAAAAATTGCATCACGAGGACAGTGTGCGGATGGCCTAAGTATACTTTGGGCTTGGGTGTGAAACTCTGCTCCTGGAGGACCACTGTCCTGTACAACACACCTGCCCAGAAGTTTCTAGTGATCCCAAAGGCGCTGATTAACTTGTTCAGATGTGTTTAATTTGGGTTGGAGCTATACTCTGCTGAAATGTAGCCCTCCAGAAGCAGGTTTGTACAGCTCTGACCTAGTGAGTCGACTTGCTGTATACTGCAATTCTAGGGCAAGTCAGTGGTGTTAAACCCTGCTCATAAAAGGCCATCTTCCTGCAGAGTCTAGCTGTAAACCTAATTAAACTTACCTGAACCATCTAATAAAGTCTTCAGGATTACTAGGGAGTTCTGGACAGCTGTGCTGGAGCAGGTTGGAACTAAACTGCAGGATGGAGGTCCTACAGGAGTGAGATTTGACATTAATGGACAAATAAACAGTATCTTAAGCCTGACCTTGTAACTGATTTAAGATGGTATTTATAGCCAACAACATCAGTAACAGTTACATGTGTCATGCAAATAGTGCTTTACACATCAGACTGATGCAACACTCACATTTTTGACAGTTGCATGTCAAAGGCAGTTAGGTTTTGAGACACATCTGGTGTGTAATGTTGCTTCTTGCAGAGCTGTACCATGCTCTTGTAATAAAAAAAAAAAACTACATGACATATAGCATAATATTTATCACATGAAAAAGATGCATTATTGTCACTGCACGTCACCAGTAAGCTTGTGTTTCCTAGGTGTCTGAACTATGTTTATTTGGGTTGATTTATGTTGTGTTTTCTACAAAAGCTCTTTAGCTGGTTGTCTACGTCCAGTGTCCGTCCATTACATGGTTAAATGTAAAACTGTAAAACTTTTAATAATATGCTACTTGCTTTCTCCACAGAAGAAAGTAAGTTAAACATGGTGAATAAGATTCTTTTTGGGTGAACTATTCATTTAATTATATAAGAAAACTGATTTCAAGAGACCGACTTGGTTCAAAATAACCAGGAATATATGGGCATTTGCACTTTAAAGGGCATTACTGACAATCTCAAAATGATTTGAAAGTATTAGAAAGTCTTTTATTTGATAGCCCAGATAATGTTTGTCAAGGATTAGTGAGATTTGTAAAGGTTTCATTTTGTGAAAGCAATATGTTGCTGCTAAAAAACACTCAATAAAGAGCTACTTGTTTAAAATTAAATGTTTTCTTTCATTTGTTTTGCATCTATGAAGAATTGGGAAAGTGACAAGTGTAACATGTATGCAAACAAAGGAATGTTCCTTTGGTCGAAGTAGTGCAGTGAATAGTAACATTATCCATGCGGAAGAAAACCGCTTCCAGACAGGAAGGTTAAGGCTCTGTGGCAAGCATCCAGATGGCAGTTAGGACTCTTGCTTGTTCACACCAATGAGCTTAATGACACTTAAGGATTTTTTCCTTTTAACTAAATCCTTAGTAAGATGACCAGATGTCCCCGTTTTCCCGTTTTAGGTGTCCTGTTCCCGACTGGAGCTGTCCTCAGAAATGTCTCTGTTTTAACAGCGCGTTGAAAACAACAACAGAACTTGCATGAGAGCAGAGCGCTATTATCATCAATTATCAAAAGAGACGCTGTTATTGGTTTCAAGGCAGCCACATTCTAACTATACATGTTAAAACAAAGTAATACTGTTTGTGTGCACTTTATAACAAGGCATGATAAGGTTGTGGGATTGTTTTGCACACAGTATTAAACACTCCTGAAGCTTCTGCCATCACAACTCCGATATGAATAATATAAAAAATAACAAACTAAACAATTACACTTGCACAATTACATTTGCAGAAAGCACATACTTTGTGGTCACAATGAGCCTGAAATGCAAAATAATAAGCCTGATTAGGGATAGTAAAGATCCATTTCCAAAAACATAAACATAAAATAACTTTTGATCATTTGAAAAGTTGTAATTACTTTATACTCACAGTTTGTGAAAATGTTAAATAGTCAGAAAATGTTACAAATATTTGTTAAATACAGTTTTACTTATCATATGTTCTCATATGTGTTGTTTTATTTTTAATGTGTATTTGTAAAGTCATTTTGTTATAATCCTATAATCCTAGTTTGATCTGTTTACTATTTGCAATAGTTACTTATTCACTTTTCATAGTGTGATTTTTGGTGAATTGTAGGCCTATCAATGAACTAGGGTAAGTCTGATCCTTAAACGTCATTGTAATTATTAATTATGATATTAATATATGGAAACCACAACAATTAAAAAACAAAAACATATACAAATACATTGTCCCCGTTTTTTAGTTTGTAGATAATCACAAGTGAGATTTCAATGATATTTTGACCACTCAACTAGTTTTCATTTCAGAAATCTGGTCACTTTATAGTAAGAACCATCAACAGCTGAACCTAAGAACATCTTGAGTCAGACGTGCAATCACCCTCATGATTACCATAATCATCACTTATTTCAATTGTTAGTATATAAATCACTACTGTACAAACAAATGGATCATGAAATGGCAAAGATGAAATCAGTTACTCAGTGAGATGGATGGTAAATATGTGGTTGTTGTTGCAGCTGAGTCATTTGAGGCTCTTGTCCTCTACA